TTGTAATAAAGCCTGATTTCTAGGCAGTTTCACCAGAGGAAAACTCATCTTTCATGCCAGCCTGCAAGAAGTCTTCACTGTGGTATGGAGTAGAAATATGAAAATTTCCTTTAGATCTTGAACCAGTTACACAACAGCCGAAAGAAGATTTCTAATCTTAATAAAAGTCAAGTAGAGACTAATCTACACTGCAGTGCCTCCCGGACATTTGTAAAGTTCTGGAATTCCTTCAGCTGCACAAACAAAAATTTATAAATATTTATTGAAATGTAGCATATTGAAAATGTCACCTGTGCAACTGGAAATGAACATGAAAGAGAAACTGAGGTGGCAGGGAACAGCTTGTTACAGACAGGTTGTACACTTGGCTTTGTATTTCTGGTTTTTGAGTGGCTGCTTTAATTTTGGCCCCTGCCAGCTGCATCTGCACACTGAGTTCAGAAGGAACATCCAAGAGAAAATGGATACTTTAGGAGGCAGATTGCAGCAGCTATCACTTAATGGAATGGCTGCTGAAGGATTCATCATTATTGGAAAAAAGTGTGTTTTGAGGGAAATCATCTGCCACTGCTGCATGACATGTTGAATATGCTGTTAAGATATCATGCACAATACTAAAAGGGTGCAAAATATAAACACCTGCAATTCTAAATGCTACTGTAGAGATTCTTCTCACCCATCTCCCATGGTGAGACTAAAATACAGTCTTAAACGAATTCATAGGTTTCCCAAGTTTTGAGAGATACTCAATTTTATATAAATTTTGTTCACATTTTGTGATCTGTAATTTGTGCTTTAGTTTTAAGAATCTTACTTTTGGGCAATGTTTGAGGAATTCAGGATCTGTATTTATCCTGAATAGATTAGGCTAAATACAGGACTATTTAATCAGCACCCAGAACTTATCTCACACTAGGTTTATAACAGCATAAATCTCCATCTTTCAATTTCTTTTAAAAGATAAAATCTTGCTGAAGTCTGACTTCAGGAAAAACTTCTCCTTGTGCCCATTGTGTACTTCTGAACATGAGAAAGGCAAAATTTAAAGCATGAAAAAATAGAATGTTGGGAAGTGTTCCAGTAAGGATGACATCTTTTTCAGTTCCATTGCTTAAATAAAGGGATGTCATGGGGGAGGATCTTGGAGAATTCTGACTGGGGCAGTATCACTTTAAGGGAGGAAGAAACTCAGTCGGGATTTGGGTTGCCTAAATATTACATGTAAGATTCATAAAATTACTAAATATAAAATACTAAACTGTAACATAAGATGCCTAAGTATTGAATGAAAAAAAAAATCCCCTCATATTATAAATTGGAGCATTTTAATTGCAGGTACTTATCCCTCACTTTACACATTGCTGGCTGCAGAGTTTGAGGTAAATACTACCACCCTACTTCTGAGTTTGTAGTGTATAACAGTCTGCACTGGAAAAGGAGCATTCTCATCTGCTCCTCAAAGCAAATTACATGTAATTGTCAAAAAGTAAAGCTGGCCTAGAAATAAGTGTTGGGGCTTTGAATTTTACTTTTTGAATGATGAATTTTGGTTTTTGAAGAAAGGAAACTTCTTATTATTTGACATGGGTGATCTAGTATGCTAAAATTAGTGAGCCTAAAATAGATTGACATGAAGTAAAATAGAGGGTGGAAAATGTACACTGAAGTACCTGAATATATTTGTGAAGAACTGCATTTGTTCAGCTGCAGAATGTTCCTCTTTCACACACTTCTGTGCCTCTTACAATTTTTTATACTTTGTGTTTCTTTGCAATATGGATTTCTAATACTTTGCAAGAGATGTACAAATTATTTTAAAAAACTAACCAACCAAAGCTCCAAACTCGTGAATTGAAAGTTGGCTGTATAAATCTGTTCCATATAAACTTATTCAATATTCATTGATACTGAATTATTCAAAGTGCTAACTTAATTACCAGGTCTGAAACTTCTGGGAAGATCAGATAAAGCAGCTGCACTGAACCTGATTGATTAGTTATGTTGTGCGTGGGTACTTGGATCCTCCTGCACAGCATAAATGCCAATCTCGCTCCAGTTTTGAAAAGTAAGATTCTGTTCAGCAGCAGGTAGGTCGAATTAAAGAGCTGCTGGCCCCGTGTTTTCCTCATTGAGTTGGAGCAGTCTGATGAAGGCAGCGTTGCTTTCAGTTCTTCTGCACTCATTGATTCAGGGAGATGGAACTACTGTGTAGCAGCAGGAAAGGTGCAGAATCCAATTACAGCTATTCATATTTGGGTTTACTGATTAGTTTTACCATTTCAGATATTATACCTGCAGTTCACGTTTGCTTATCTTTATTTGTTACTTGCTAAATTTTAAATGCTGTGAGAACTGGAGCTGGCATTGTAGGTTTTTTTCAGAAAATTTCATATCTCTCTTCAACCGAGTGAAATGGAAAGAAGGGATTAATTTGAACTTCATGGTATTGTAATGATTTTTCACTGCTATGAATTGGTTTTGCTCCCTGTAGCCTCTGTCCTTTATTGCATTAGTGCTGCAGAACAATAGTGGTGGGAAATATTGCTTTATGAACTCCAGCGTCTCAGTACTGCCATTGTCATTCATCATCTAATATAGGCTAATTGATGCTACTACAGACCATTCCAGAATGAAAAAGAAACATTTCTGCTTTAGTTGGGTGATGATCACTTCATCTGCAGTAAGCATGGAAAGCCAAATAAATATTTGATGTGAAGCTTTATAAAAATATATAAAAAAAGCAAAAGTCTTGTTTTATATGAGGACCTCTTGGCTTAGAACTAAAGAATAAAATAACTGCAAGAATTTTATGCTACAAGATCCTCCAGAGTTTTATTCTTTTTCATTATATCCTGTGTTTCCAGAGTTACAAGTCTATCGTTTTAAGTTTGTCAGATTTAAACTGCACATTTCTTTTGCTAACTAGATACAAATAATCTGTACACAATGAGGCTTTAAAGACTTCCTCTGGAGCACTGTAGGGTAAAAAAAATGGCTTCCCCTTCCCCCTCACTTTGATGAAATAGAGACTTTTTCTTGAATATTTAATGGTTATTTATAGTCTGCTATTAACAAATTACTTCTGTATGAAAAGTCACAGTGACATTTAAACACTGCCGCCAGGGTCGCGGGCAGCTCGTGGGGCGATTCTGGGCTGGCTGTGTGCTTTGATGGCCGTGTCGCAGCCGGGACGGCGGCTGAGGGTGGCACTGGTGTCGCTCCCTGCTCCCATCCCGCTGCCACCCTGCCCTGACGGGGCTCGGGGAGAGGAGCCCTCCTACAGATCTTACCTTCACTTTCAGGCTGGAAGGGGCTTAGAAGTTTTTCCAGAAAGGGAGCTTGGCTCTTAATATCCCTGCAGGAAACGTGGGAGGAGCCGTTGAAATGTTTTGATAAGGGATACGAAGATTGCTTAACATATTCAGCTCCTTCACCCTCTTGTACTGTTTTCTTGCATTTATTAAATAATGTGCTACCAGGCAAGACACACACTGGGTGATTTTGTGCTTTAGCTGTTTTCTGAGTGTAAAAGCTTTTGCTGTAGTGTCAGATCCGTGTTGTTAATAACTGTTCCAGCAAAATCTCCCCAGTGTCGTTTGTTTGTGGAGGGATTGGTCTGAGCCAGGGGCAGCCGCCCAGCAGCTCCAGGCTCCCAGCTGCCCGGGAGACCGGCCGTGTATATCTGTGCATGGTGGGAAAGGCTGCACCAGGGCGAGAACTGCTGGGCAGAGAAAGCAAAGGACGGGAGAGAGCCGCCAATGCTTCTGTAACTCGTGAGCAGCCCCGCAGTGCTCCGAGCTCGGTCGGGCGCGGAGGGAACTGCTGAGACAATTCCGTAAGAGTCACTGGGCTTTGTCGCAACCCACCGGGAAGCCTGTGCCCCACAAGTGCGCTGTCCCCGTGGGACCCGCCACTCCGTACCCTTTCCAGGCGCGTTTTGGGGATGCGGTCGTTTTTAAAGCACCGGTGCTGCCTGGAGCTGCACCATTGCTTACGCTGCCCTTCCCACAGCGCTGTGTCTCCAGGACACAGGAGAAAGCGCTGTCCGTTTTCGTTCCCACCTGGGGCAGGAGTCTCGGGCCCATCGCCGGTCAGCTGCCGGCTCGGTGCTAGCGGGGCCGGCACCGGAGCGGGGCCGGAACCGGAGCGGGGCCGCGCTGGGCTCGGGGCCGCCCGGGCTGGCTGCCCGTGGGCCGGGGCAGCACCGCCATCCGGCCACTCCACGACCGAAGGGGCCACCCGGTGACCGGGCACCGGCCATAAAAGCGCTGTGAAGAACTGCGGGCGGATGGATTTGTGCCAGGAAGATCCAGAGCGAAGATTTTTTGAAACATTTTGGAGAACCCTTGACAACTCCGAGTTTCTGCACAAACCAAGATAAGGGCGGCGGGGCTGGCCCCGGAATCCTCTCAGGCGTTTCAGGGATCTTTCCCCCCTCTTCTGTTATTGCCGTTACCGGCGCAGCTCCGCTGTGCGAGGGGTACCGGTGAGGAGCCCCCCGCCGGGCTGGGCTGACGAAAGCGCCCCGGCAAAGCAGAGGGGCTCCCAGAAGCGCCCGCCGCCCTCCGGCGGTGCGGGCCCGGCCGGGGTCGGTGCCGGTGCGCTCAGTCCGGGCTCTCCCGGAGGCGGCGGGCGGAGCGGGCTGCAGCCGAGGCCGGGCGGCGGGGCCGCCAATCGGGGCCGCCCCTCGCTGGCGGCGGCGGCACCGGAGCTCTCCCGGCGCGGCGGGGGCGGGGCGGGGAGCGATGCGCTCCGTCGGGGCGGTGCAGCCCCCGCCCACCCCTCGCTGCCGCCCCGCGCTGTGGGGCGGAGCGGAGCGCGGTTCCGCCTCGCCCCGGCGGCCGCCGTGAGCTGCGCTGCGGCGGCGCCCGCGGCCGCTCGGCGATGGCGGCGCGGGAGAAGCGCGGGGCGGGCGGGCGGCCGTGCCGCTGCTAAGTAGGGCAGGGGCGGGGGCGGCGGCGGCGGGGCCGTCGCGGCGGCTGCGCTATGCGGGCCGGGCGCGGGGGGCCGGCCGGGACACGGCGCCGGGGGCGGCGCGCCCTGCTGCCCGCCGCGGGCCCCGGGGCGCCGGGGCGCTGAGCAACAGTTGGCCCCGCCGCCGCCCAGCATGAAAGTGTGCCGGCGGAAGGCGCTGGCGCTGTGCCTGGGCTACGCGCTGCTGCTGCTGCTCGCCGCGCTCAACCTGCTGGAGTACAAGTGGCGGCGGGAGCCGCGGCGCTGCGGGGAGCCCCCGGCAGCCCCCCGCCACCACCCCCCGCCGCCGCCGCCACCGGCCGGGAGCCGCGGCCCGGCGGGCGCCCGGCGGCAGCTGGTCTATGTCTTCACCACCTGGCGCTCGGGCTCGTCCTTCTTCGGGGAGCTCTTCAACCAGAACCCCGAGGTCTTTTTCCTCTACGAGCCGGTGTGGCACGTCTGGCAGAAGCTGTACCCCGGTGACGCCGTCTCGCTGCAAGGGGCGGCCCGCGACATGCTGAGCTCCCTGTACCGATGCGACCTCTCCGTCTTCCAGCTCTACAGCACGGCGGGCGCCGGCAAGAACCTCACCACGCTCGGCATCTTCGGGGCGGCCACCAACAAGGTCATCTGCTCCTCGCCCCTCTGCCCGGCCTATCGCAAGGAGGTGGTGGGGATGGTGGACGACCGGGTGTGCAAAAAGTGTCCCCCGCAGCGCCTCAGCCGCTTCCAGGAGGAGTGCCACAAGTACCACACGCTGGTCATCAAGGGCGTGCGTGTCTTTGACCTGGCCGTCCTGGCCCCGCTCATGCGGGACCCGACCCTGGACCTCAAAGTCATCCATCTGGTGCGGGACCCCCGCGCCGTCGCCAGCTCCCGCATCAAGTCCCGGCACGGCCTCATCCGGGAGAGCCTCCAGGTGGTGAGGAGCCGGGACCCCCACATCCACCGCATGCCCTTCCTTGATGCTGGCCACAAGCTGGGCGGGAAGAAGGAGGGGGCGGGCGGCTCGGACTACCATGCCCTGGGTGCCATGGAGGTCATCTGCAGCAGCATGGCCAAGACCCTGCAGACTGCTCTGCACCCCCCTGACTGGCTCCAGGGCAATTACATGGCCGTGCGCTACGAGGACCTGGTGGTGGAGCCCATCAAGACCCTGCGGCAGGTGTACGGCTTTGTGAACCTGGCAGTCAGCCCGGAGATGGAGAAGTTCGCCCTCAACATGACCAGTGGCCCCGGCTACTCCTCCAAGCCGTTCGTGGTGTCGGCCCGGAACGCCACCCAGGCGCTGAGTGCCTGGAGGACTGCGCTCAGCTACCAGCAGATCAAGCAGGTCGAGGAGTACTGCCAGCAGCCCATGGCCCTGCTGGGCTACGAGCGGGTGGGCAGCCCCGAGGAGGTGAAGGACCTCAGCAGAACGTTGCTCAGGAAGCCGCGGCTGTGACGGGGCAGCGGCGCCCGGGGGTGGCGGAGCCGGGCGGAGGAGCCGCTCCGGCTGCCCCGAGTGAGGGAGGGAGCCGGGAAAAGCAACCTGGTCTCCGACTTCCTCCAAAGACTGCTGAAGGGTAACATACAGTAATGTGATTAATTTTTTTTTTTTACCCACCCCCTTTGCATTGAGTTAGATGCGATTTAAAAACCAAAATCAAGTGGAACTGAAAATATGTGTAAAGCCCCCCCCTTCCTCCTCTCTAAAACACCAGGCATTTATTCTGTACCAATATCGTGTTCATGAAGTTCTTGTGGGTTTGAAGATGGTAACAAAAACTCTTGCACAATTCCTAACACATCTTTTATCTCCCTTGGTGCGGAGGGGATGCCCTTGGAAAACATAATGCTGAAAATCAGACTTTTGTATGAAAGCAAATGTTCAGACATGATAGTAATAAAAGAAAATAATAAATGATATTCATTTTTATAATTACCTCAATTGTTTGGGAAATACAGTGTTGCTTATGTACAGCTAGAGGGGATGCTTGCTTAAAATAACAACGTGGACTTCTTAAAGGGTATGGGCGGAGGGCTGGAGTGCAACATTTGATGCATTCAAAGATCAGGAGCTGCTCTTGCAGAAGCAAATACAGATCTTGCAAGTGTAGTACAGGTTATATGGCTGTGTCAAAGCAGGTTTCTATTTAACTATTGTCTTTTCTGTTGTATTTAAAAGTCTTTCAAGTGCCACTGTATTAGTGTCCTAAGAGTTTTAAAACGTTTGCCATCGCAGCAGTATTTATTTTTGTCTTGACATGTGTGTCCAGGAGTCACTGTCAAGTAGAAGTGGATCTACAGCGTGACAAGAAATGCAGGATTTAAAAAGACATTTATCATACTGGAATCATTAGCATGTGTGACAACAAAAATAAAATTACATATATTATATATATTCTATAGTGCTAACAAAACATAAGATGTAAGATATTTCTTGGCATTGGTTGGTAACAGGCAGAGCAGGGAAGCAAAGAAAAATGCATAAAATGATTTATTTTTTCCCTTTGTCTGTGTCCGAGGGTATATTTATGTATGAAGAGGGAGGAAATGTACAGCTGTGTGTTCATGGCTGTAATAGAGCTTTTATGGAGCCAGCCCAGCGTTTGATTTCAGAGCGCTGGTTGGAGACTCATTGCCTGTGAATTGTCATTGCTCTGTGATGGAGCCAGATGGTGGTCTGGCTCTTTCTGGGAGCTCTGCCTAGAGTCTGTCCCATCGTTAAAACTTGATGATTAAAAAAAAAGGAAAGAGATTTTACTACTTCTGCTTTTGTAATTTCTTGGAAAAAGTCCTGATTTATTAAAGGTTAAGTGGTGTGTTGCATATGAAAAGTGCAGACACCCTAAGTAATTTTTAATCTTGGTGTTCTCTGCTGCTCTTTGAAGGCTCATTTTGGAACTTGAGTTTTTAAACAAATGTAGTTTTGCCAAACTCTTCTCTTAGGAGACTACAGACTTTTCTACAGGAAGTACATTTTACATTGCCTATTTGGTGTTGTGCCTTCAGAAAATGTGAAGAGTATGAGTAGGAAAAAGGAGATTGATTTGTGAAAATAAATTAATATGAACAGGATGCTGACACGTGTGTGTGTATGTGTGGGTGTATGTGTGAAAATTTTAGTGATGTGTAATATGTCTATTTCTTGTAACTCAAGTTAAACAGCTGATAACTGGCTACTAAGATTTTTGAGTTCTTGATGAAATTTTGGCATTAGATGTTGAATTTATTCTGAAAAAGAAAAGCATTTAATAAACTAGTTAAAAGATTATTGCATAAGGTTGCATATACACTTGCTGAATGATTGCATTACGTGTTGGTTCCCTCAATTCATCTTCACCATCAGTGAAATAACATAAAATCTAGCAATGGGAGATCTTTTAACTGCCCTGTTAGGATGTATTCCCAGATTCCAGACAGCAGTGCTAGAAACGGGAGAGATAGCTAATTTGGTATTTAAAATACAGATTAAGGTACTCGTGTTGTTGTGGAAATGTGTTTTGTGTTACCACTGTAGATGTTCAGTGCAGTGCTGAGAGGATTTTTGGGTGTTTGGCTTTGGACTGTACCCAGTGGGGTTTTTTATTTTCTTTGGTTGTTGTGTCGGGGGGCAGTGCTTGAAAATCTGACCTCCTTGTAGAGCACAGTCCTTGCTTTTTCTCCATGCCTGCTGTCTGAGCCTGCCCTGCCCTGCCCTGCCCTGCCCCAGGGCTGGAGCTGGGAGCCCTCGGAGCTGCCCGTGGGACCCCAGCCCCGCTCCGGGACACTGTGTGGAACTTGGCTTAGGTCTCTAGATGGGAGCTCTCCATGGCAGCATGCTACAGCAAAAGCTCTTTTGGTTTTGGGAGCTGAAGCATGGTCATTTCTGTGTGCAGAATTCCTTGGTCTTTTTTGGGAAAGTTTTCAGGGTGAGTAAAATGAACAGGAATTGATTGCCTCTGGGAGTGTGAAACAGATGAGCCCAATTGACTTAGCTTCCAAAAATGTCCTTTGGCTCCTAATTATGTTAAAAAACTCATCCTATCATTCTGAGAGAGCACTTGCTGCTCTTCTAATAGTGGTGCATTGCAAGCATCTGCTTCACTTTCCGGACACAAACACTGCCAGTAGAGTTACAGCATCTAAATCTGGTCCGTAATTTGGGCTCCACCTACTAGATTGCAGCAAGGAATCACCCAACATACTGTACAACCGTGCCCTGGTGTGCTTTGGTGAACAGAAGAAACAATGCAATGTTCATTTTGTGAAAATAAAGGACTGCATGTTTGTTCAGGTTAAGCTTCAGGAGAACTGAACGGGATCCTACTTGTGTAAAATGCTGGTGGGTTAAGCCAGCATTTAATGCTGCTCTATTAAATATGTATGTGAACAACTGGCAATTAAAAGATTATTTTTAGCCCTTTTTTCTATTCAGGGAATAGAATTAGAGGCACTTTAACAAGCCAAACAGAGTTGAAAAAAATTTTAAAAAATAAGGTAGAAAGATGAAGGACATGGTTACAAAAGAAGTTTTCCTTTTGTGAAGATGGACAGCTAGCTGTGGTCAGAATAAACTTGACTTTTAAGCTTGAGATTAGTCCTGGGTTTGCTTTCTGTCTGATTTAATAATTACAGTGTGCTTTTCCAGCTGAAGCTAATGCTTGTATTGGTGAAGAATCAATAGCATAAACAAGATAGAGGGTGCACTCAGTTGCATGGGAGGGAGATGCTTCTGAAGAATTGACACGTTGTTTGGTGGAAGAGAAAGGCCAACGGGCAAGTACGAGTTGCTTCCTGCTGTGAACAAAGCCAGAACATCAAATTGTTGTGGTAAATTGCAATGATCATTCAGTGCATGAAAACAGGAAAACCCTCTGTCTTTCCACTGAATCAACTAAACCACAAGATGTGTAAAAGTGTGCAAGTCGCTGCTGCTAACCTGGGAGCTGACAATGAAAAAAAAAGTTAGATCAAGTATCTTTCATTCTTTCTTAACAAAAGGAGGAAGTTCCTTATTTTTCCAATCACTCTGTAATTTGTCAGACATTAAACATCATGCTGTGACTGGGAAGAGGAACATAATTTAAACCCACAAACCTTGTATTTCCATTATAATTAGAACTTGGGTCTTCAGAGATGAAATGCTGATGGTTATAGGCAATCCTGAAACAAGTGTTTCTCATCCTGTAGGCCATGAGAAGAGTGGTGAGATTACTTCCCCTTCACTTCTATTTGCTAGTGGTGTGTTGAAAATGAAAGGTGTTTAATGTGATCCCTTGCACCACCACACAGGTGGTCTAAGAGTTGGTGTTCCAGCTTTGCTCCTGTGCATCCCATAAATGCAGGCTTGGTTCCCTTTGGAGAGGTGAATACTCAGTTGTGTGGGGCTGCTTTATGTGAACAGACTGAGCATGGGGCAAATGCTGCCTCCGTTGTTACTTCATTGGATGGATCAATAATGTTCTTATTCTACTGCCATTTCAATTAAGGGTGTTGTATAAATATTACTCTGCTGGAATTATGCATATGAATAAGGTAAGCAGATTTAATTTGGAGGCTCTAAGTGAATGTGAGACTGCTTGCCATTGATGTATCTGACTTCAACTTCAGTGCTTTCTGCTAAGTTATCCTGGCAGTCAGTGCACAGGGTTTGAGCAAGACCTTACAAAAATATGCATGTTTTATAATTAAAGAATACATAGGATAACATTTCAGCAATATTCATTATATTGTGCACATTTAAAGTAATAAATCAGGTTTATCTGGTTTATTTGGGTTCCCTGGCAGCAAATGAATTCTGTTAACATGTCTAAATAACAACTCTTTGCTGTCATGACATCCATGATTCTTCATGTAAGTTATTGTTTCTGCAAAGAAAATGCATAGAATTGGTACAACACAGACTGTTTTTTATTTGCAAGTTGGAAAATTTCCTTGTATTTACTTTATTTTGCAGCTCAGGGCTCCCTGCACCATAAGATTATGAAAGGAACACAAGAATGGGCCTGCATTATTGACTGTGCAAAGTCTGGGCCAACACAAATTCAATGAGAATCAGTGCAAAATGTGAGGTGTCCTGTCTTCCCTTGATCCATGAAGAGCTGGAATTCCTCCCACAGATCAACACCATGAAAGCTATGAAAAAAAAAATCATAATATAATGACCTTGAAAATGGGAGAACTGGGATTAAAGAATCATCTGTTTCTGCACTAAAATACAAACCTTTAAAATATGTGTAAAAATATATGGCTTATTTCTTCACAGAAGAAAATTCTGTATGTGAGAGACACATTTACACCAACTGATGTGGGTGAGCTCTCTGGTGTCCACTGCAGTTCCGAGACAGGAATGTGCTTGTTATAAACAGGGTGATGGCAAGGGATTTGAGGTTGAGTGGTGGGTTACCATCTCTTTACTCCTCTCAGAAAAATTGGTGAGTAGCCAGCACAGCCTGCAGGGCTTTTAATATCAGGTACTGCAAACTTCTGTCTGGATATAATTTCATTATTCTGATGGGATTTGAATGGAAATAGGATTTTCATGCTGAAAAACAAGATGAAAATGTGGTTGCAGGAACTCCCCAAATTAAACATTACTAGCAAAACAGCCTGAGCAAGAAAGGATCTGCTGAGCCACCTTTGTCCCAGCATCAGTTGAAGTTGTTAACTGGAAGGGGCTCTACAGATACAATATTAAGAAATCTGAAGATTCTAGTAAGCTTTAAGTGTGATTTTTGAGAATATCTGCATGTGCTATTTTCATTGGAATTGGAATATTATGCAGGAGTGAGCGGGAGTTATATTTCAGGGTGCCTCATAAATTTGTATTGGCAGGGGCCTATGGGGGTTTCTGGTCCAGACAATTGCTCGAAGCAGGGTCAGCATATGAGATCATGCTAGGTTGCTCCAGATTTAACTTGGTGAGTCTTGTAAACCTGCAAGGACAGAGACTGCACAATCTCCCTGGGCAGCCTCAGTGCTCTGTGGGCCTTGTGGTGATCCATGGTGCTTCAGCAAAACCAGCCCCCAAATCACTAAACATGTTACATAAATTTATTAATATTTGCCTGTGACTACTGACGTGGGTCATGTCCTCACTTCCCTTTAACTACAAGAGATGTTTGCTGCAGCTCAGCCATTGCAAAGGGTCATTAGCAAAGTGGCTAATGAGTGGTGATCTCAGTGGAAAAATGTGGATTCACAATTAGAACGCTGTATCCAGCAATATCCCTTGTTCTGCCCAAGAGGGATAAAGAAGAGAGCAAAGGCAAAAGAAATTCACTTAGAAGAAAGGAAAGGAATACAAAGCAGGTCTTATCAGAAGTTGCTCTTTCTCTGCTAGAGGAAGAAAGAAATACTGTTAAGGAAAATTGAAAGAAACAAATGACACCACACAGCAAGGTCAGCAGAGGATGAATAAAGGCATTTGCATGTTAAAAGCAATGAGGATAGAAACCTGAAGGACAGAAGATGAAATGTGATGCTATGTGCTGTAACCATTTGTAATTAATCATGATATGCAGAAAGAATTCCTCACTTCTAAGTTCACAGTTTTAGATTCACTGATTTTCCTCACAGTTTCAAGATGAATTTCAAACAGGAATAATTTTCGTAATTATTCAGATATTTTTGATGTTCCAATTTGTTTTGTGTATAGATAGAAACAGAGTTGCTGAACTTTTGTCTAAATATTCCTCTCTGCAGACCTCTATGCATAAATTCACAGGCCCCCCTAGTCTGCTAAATTCTTGGCACCTTCTTGTTTTCCATCTGCCAGATGGCTCCTTCTCCCACCAGTCAGGGTTATCAACAATTATCTGTTTCAAGCCATGTGCATGTCTCATAACAGTTTATCCTGGGAGACATAAAATGGAAAAGTGACATATTTAGTGTTTATGTAACTTTGAGAATCACTCTTGGCAGCTTTCATTACTTGCTTATTTGCCACTGGTGGTTCCTATGTATGTTTGCTGTACTGATGTGGCATCAGCCCTTGAGATCTCAATTATTCAGTTAATTTTCTAAAATCAGACACCTTGCACACTCAGCCAGCTGGTATTTTTAGGTATACTAACTTAGCTGGTTGAGTAGTGACCTGTTTTCTTCTTCAGAACATCCTTATACCTGCTTGACCTCTCTTTTCCCAAGTAACAAGTGGTAGGAAATTAGGAAATGGACTCAAGTTGCATCAATAAAGGTTTAGATTGGATATTTGGAAACATTTCATCACCTTGAAAGGCTTGCCAAGCAATGGAACAGGCTGCTTCGGAAAGTAGCCCAGTCCCCAACTCTGGAGGTATTGAAAAGACATGTGGATGTGGTGCTTAGGGACGTGGCTTAGAGCTGGGTTAGTGGTTGGACTTGACATCATAAAGGTCTTTAGAACCTAAATGGTTCTCTGATGTGATGGTGACATCAGACCCTGCCACACAGGGGTGGTTGGGGGCACTGGGGCTCCTGCAGCTCGTGAAGCAGTGAGAAAGGTCTGACTGCCAGAGCAGAGTTTGGGGCTGAAGTCTGCTGACCTCCCTGGGCTTGCACTTTTCACCCACTTCACCGGCTGTAGCTCCACCACAAACTGCAGAGCTGTCCATGGTAAAGGACACCTGGTTCAAACAGGTACAGTGGTAATGAGTAAGTGGTGGAAAACAGTTCTTTGTGCTTCTCTGCTCCTCTCCAGGAATGAGCACACAGCAGCCTGTGCTGGCCATCACTTTGATTTTGTAGGAGTTTAATATCTACTCCCTAATCACATGTTCTTTTATGCTGAGCAAAGGTAAAAATACACAGTATAAATGTGTTGTGGCTACTGCCCAGAGAATACCTACTGTGTTATTTTAACCAAGGAATCCTCATTCCAGGACACAACTTACACACACATGAGCCCCTCTCCTTTTATTTTACTTTAAATAGGAAAATGTTGTATCTGACGCCACACACCTGAGAGGCGGCTGTTTGCCTTTCGGCAGGTGGTGCCCCACAGGTGTTAATGAGGAATGTTAATGAACCTGATACAAAAAAGGGACACCTGAAAGTTGTTAGGAGGTCGTGCTGCTCAACCTTTTCCCCTCACAGAGAGGTGACTCTCGGTAGGATGAGATGGAAGCCGAGGTCTGCTCCGTGCCGTGTTGTTTCTGGCTGTGCCCGGCCTGGCCAGGGGGCTGCCGTGTGCCCTCCTGGGGGAGCAGCGCTCCAGGGAGGATTAATGCAGGAGGGGAGCTGCTCTTGGCGATGGTGGCCTTTGCCAGAAGCCTCTTTGATGGGAAGGGCTGCTGCAGGCTCCGAGTGCCTGTGGTCCCCCAGGAACGTGCTGGACGGTGCCCGAGCTCAAGCCCTTTCCAGCGCTGCAGCCTTGCCGCGAAAATCGGTGAATTTTCCAGCAAGGAGAGGCGGTGGGGCTGCTGTGCTCAGGCACGTTTCTGTGTAAAGAGTTGATGGAGCACACGGAAGAGCACCAGCAGGGACTAAGGAGGCTGGAGCAAGGAATGCCGCTGCAAGGAGGCCGCACACCGTGCTGGACCCGCGGCCGGAGCGCCTGGGGACCCATGGAGCCGATGGAGCCGATGGAGCCGAGGTGAGCCACGGCGGGGCGGCTGCGCTGGGGCTGAGGCTGGGGCTGGTGCTGGGCCTCCCTTCCCCGGGCTGGAGCTGCTGTGGGAGCACCGCCTGCCCAGCAGCGCTGGAGACGGGCACCGGCCGCCCATTGCTGCTGGCAGCAGGGCTCTGGGAGGGCTGAAGCGTGCAGAAAACTCGTCTGGGGAGGGGCTGGCAGTGAATCTATTATTTGTTGGGGGTGCTCTGCTGCCGTGAGGACACCTGGCTCCTGTGTGTGCCGTGGAGTGTGGCACATCACCGGGGGCAGCGTGGCACTGCTGTTCCCCACGGGCACCATCCCCTGCTGTGCCCTGGGTACCTGCCTGTGTCCGCCTCTTCAGGGTCATGCAGTGCTCAGGCAAATCTCCATCGTGTGAGGAGAGGCTTCAGAGCTGATGGTTTCTTGCACAAATGTACTGACAGAAAAATTTTATGCATTTCCTTGCCGTTGACATGTCTTGTTGGGTTTCAATGTGGAGTCCTTTAGTGTATCTACTGGTCCTGTCCCATGCTTGCAGTCCCAGATGAATTGCAGAATGTGTCTGTTTCTCTTTGTCTTCTTTCTGAAATGGACATGGCTCTCCCGACCTCTCATCCCTCCTGCACAGGTGAGCTTTTGTCTTGTCCCTGTCCCATTTAGAATGGTGACCAGCCTCCCTGTTGCTTAATTAGTCCTTTCATAATGAATAATTTGGCTAAATGCTTTGCTCTGAGTAGTAGCCAGCCATTTATCTTCGTCATGTCTGTTTGAACAAAGAATTATTTGCAAGTTAAACATTTCACCATTGCTGGCTTTGACTGCGGTGCAGCCTGTAAACTATACTTAGATTGCTGAAATCATATAAAGAAATCAATGGACTTTTCCTCACTGCAGGCTTCAGGTCTTGGCACAACAACTTGTAATGGCTCCTTATTTTCACTTATGCCCTACACTTATGTGTAGGAGATGCTGAGAAAATACTCGTGTGTGGGCTTACAGCTGGAGTCCTGTTGGCTGTTCTGAGCACCATGGATGTGCATCCCTGTACACAGTAGCCCCTGGTTAGAAGCCTTGGATTTTCTTGCCTTAGGTATACAGGCATCATGTAGCAGCCTTTTGGGTAGCTGATGAGTTTATCCCTGTTGATGCTAAAACCACACAAAGGCAAAATGGAAGAAATGAGAAATCTAAACATAATTTTAGAGAAAGGGCAGCTGAATGCACAGGCAGATGATGCATTTAAAATGGTTTGTGTTTAAAAAATCCCTCATATCTATTTAGTTAGTACTTCCGGAATTAAGACAATTACTTAAAGTGTTCCCAGCAGTTCTTCTGCATTAGGTTACTGAAGCTAATCAAGATCCCACTCTTCTTATTTCTTCTCTGACTTGTGTTAAGGGGTCACTTTGCAGGCCACTGATGCTTCCAGGTTAAATGGGTGGCCTTGGAGGGAGAAGAGGGGGTATCCCAAGATATCCAGATGGTGAATAAGCTTCCTGTAGCCATGGGCTATTAGAGAATGTACTAGCATCCTTTGGTACAAGGCTGTGCTGGGTACTCTGGGGATTGATGAACAAGTGTGGCAGTGAGGAGATGATAATATGTTTGGCACAGTAGACCACATTATTGTCTAAAAAGTTTGTTTGACATATGGTTATTCTAACACAAATAGTAAATGCCTCATTATACAAAGCTATTATTGTTTCTAACTTGGCTTTCTGGTGCTTCAGTGAGAGCAATGTATCTCTGGCATTTACTGGATTGTAGTAGTGACAAAAACACAGCACACCAGCATCATTATGTATGTACAGAACTCTATTTTTCAGGCCACTGGATACATCACAGATGCAGATCTCTTTCCCTCCATTGTTCATGTACTTAGCCTTAAAATCTGAGCTCTTCTAGTGGCAGTGTGGCCTGGGAGAGGCAGCCCAGAGTCCATGTGCGATATTTCTTTCTAAGTGAAGCTTCTCTGCAGAGGGAGGTTGTGGTGAGGATGGGTAGAATAGGTCGTGTTGCTCCTGGGGATTTCTGACAACCCCAAATTGGGGTAATTAGGACTTAAAACAGCTGTGAGCAGCCTACAGGGCTCTGTGCCTGTTAGGGAGCCTGTGTCTAAGAGCTCCTGGTTTCTCTCCTAATCCCCTGAGAATAACCAAGATTTTTGAGCCAATGGCTGTGAGGGAAAATAAACCCATAAAAATACAGCGAATCATGTAAGAATGTGTTTTCAGAAAGTTTTTTACATGGTCTGGTGATGCTGCTAATTGTGCATATACTTGCATTGCAACTAACCAGGCTTGGTCTGTGTGATGAACACATTCGGGGGGGGGGGCAGGGCCAGTGGTACAAGAGGTTGCTCAGTTATCTGGTTGTACAGATCCAGAGATGGATCAGGACATGGTTGTACACAGGGATAAATTTAGTTCATTGATGTAATATATTCTTAATTAAAAAACCTATCCTCAGTAAAAAGTATTATTGCATTTGGATTAGAATATGGTCTTAACTCATAGACATTTAATTTTCACATAAACCCCTCTTAAGTACAAAAAGGAAGTAAGGTAATTTAGAGGAAGCATTTCTATGCTAATGTGAACCATTTATGGAACAAGTGGTGCACAGAGCAGGCCACTGAAAACATAGTATCTGAAGAATGAGAATGGAGATAAATTTGATTTTTATGCCTAATGGCAAGAGATTATCAGGCAGCAGACTCCAAATGAATTTCTGAAAACTAGGACTGGGAGCCGAGGTATGGCATGACAGAGTATGGGTTTATAGGGGAGACTAGGCAAAGAGGTGTAAATATACTTTTTGTATAGATGCATCATGTTTTAATAAAGCATGTTGCATTGTAACAACACTTCTTCCCTTCTATTAGGCTGAGCAGCATTTGAAGTGTATCCTCCCCACCCTAAAATGGAATTGAAATACCTAATAATTGCTTCCAGGTGTGTTGAATTTTGCTTTAGCCTTGTCTTGTTCCTGGGGTTTGGCTTGCTTCAGTCCCTGACACTTCATCTTGCCCTGGATGCTGCTGTAAGTTGCAGGCTTTGCTCTGCAGCCAAGTACAGAGCAGTTCGTGCCCAGAACCTGCTGGAACTGTGCCACATCCTAGCAACATCTCTGGCAGGCAATTGTTGTGCAGTTGTTCTTGCATACAGTTTTACAGCAGTCTGTGCCCTGGCAGCAGGGATAGTGTTTACAAATTTCCTAATATGGAGCTTCTGCGGTCACAGGAACACTTCTGGTTCTAGCAGGAATTTAGTAAACTACAATCCTTCACAAAAAAGGAAAGCAGGATTTTGCCCTGTATTTCCAAAAATATTTTATTTATTTATTTTTATAAGAGCAGTTGGCTTCCTGAACACTTATATTATTTGAGATGTTGTGGGAATTGGTGTTGCTGATCTGGCACTCTTGCTTTCTTATCTGCTGCTTCATCATGATTTCACTGCAGTGACATTTGTTGTCAGAAAATCAATACACTGAGTTTGGGAAGAGCTGCAGCTGCTCGGAAAGTGGAAGCAACAGGCTAAACAGCTGATCTATCAAGTTCACTTGCAATATTTGTTTCAGTAATGGATCACAGGCTTATTCAGTTAAGTGATGGCCTTGGCAGTCACCTCAGTACCAGCTCAGGCTGGCTCTGGTGATAGAAAAATCTGTTTGTACAACAGAGGCAATGCTCCTTCTGGAGTCCCTGAAGGAAAACCAGGAAGTCAACCTCGGACAGGGCAGATGCAGCCCAGCCCTTGTTCCC